ATGCGCAAAACTCCACATTTGAACAGTCAATAGCAAATACTTAAACTAATATCTGAACAGTAGCGGATTCAGAAGCGCCAGATTGTCATAGCAGAGTCAGAATTACCTCCTCTCCTAGGTTCACGAAACGGTCGTCCATAAAATGCATTGCTGTTCTGTTGTAAGTGATCTTAAAGATTTCTAAATGCATCTACTTTCAGAAGGCCAAATAAAGTGCTTTTGCTTTCGTCTAGAAACACACAGCGTCTCCCTGACATGCTGCTTCAACACTAACTGTGGTTACTGAAACCACGCCTTCTTTCTTTGCATGCACATTTGGGCGGCATTATGCTAATATTTCCACATAGTGAGGTAGATATGTGGGGGCGTGTTAGAACGAGCCGTTTTAGGGGGGCATGGCAGAGTCTTAACTTTGATAAAGAATATCTCTTTGGTTTTGAGACTTTAGTCTTTGCAACTTCAGGGATCTTATCTATGCACAATCAGCTTGTAGCACTCCAAAGAGAAAGGAAAACTTGAAAACGCATCATATGACCCCTTTAAATACAAACCTTTTTAGACCATTTTTTAAATCATTGTGTAAAATTGGGACAGCCACGTGTGCTTGGAAGACCGATGTCACTTAACAGTCTGCCGCTGCATCAAGAAATGCAACTTGAATCTCTGTTACTCAAAGAGAAAGCTATACATCAGTTCTATGCAGTGATAACGTGGGGTTCTCTGGGTCAGAGCTCAACTCAGATAGTCAAATCGAAAGTGGAAACATGTGCTGTGGACATTTCATCTTGTTTTTGGGGAAAAAAAGGACAATGAGTTCTCAGTCCCAACGACCAAAGGGGCCATCCAGACTTCCATCAGCAACAAATGCAAAAGCAAATGTCTGTCATGGTATGGGGGTGACTGGCATATGTGCAAAGATACCATTGACATGGAGCCATATATTGGGATTGTACAAAGACAGACTGTCTAGATGACGTCTTTCATGGGAAGCCCATGGTTATTAGATCAAGACAATGTCAGGTCTCATTCTGCATGTGCTTTAACAATGTGGTTTCGTAGACACATGTGGATGTGACTGACTGGCCAGCAGATCTGTCTCCTACTGATAATGAATGGCCCATCATGAAAAGGAGAATCAGACAATGACAACCACGGACTGTCTTTTTTAAAGCAAGATTAGACAAAAATTTGCATGCAAAACTTTAAAAATTAGTATCCTAAATTCTCAAACAATTAAACATTGCAATTAAAAGGACAGTTGATATGACAGTGTTAAACATGCCTCTGTCCCAACTTTTTTGGAATTGGGGTTGTAATAAAAATAAACATAGCTTACATACCAAACTCTTTCATTAAAACCTACACTATTGATGCTTAAAGTGTCCCTATTATGAATCTTTGAAAATTACCTTTCATGCAGTGTGTAACACAGCTCTAAGTGAATGAAAACCTCCTGCAAAGTTTTAAATCTGAAAGTACACTGTGTGTAAAGTTCTTGTCTCTCAAAAGAAAGAGTCGACTCAGAGCCATTTAAACAAGTCATTTTTAAAACAAATCCCAAGCCGTTTCATGTTGACGTCGACATGAAACACTAGCAAATTGCCCGCCCACTTGTTGCGCGCACAGACCTGGGAAAACTTTTTGTTTTGTTTTTACTGCCAAAAGACGAGGCTCTGGGGGGGGGGACTCCCAAAACCAAAATATGAACCTTTCATAATCCATACTAGGGGCACTTTCAATAAAGTTTGAATACACTATAGCTACTGATTTAAAATCATAGAATAATATAAATTGAGTAGCCCTAAATGACACAACAATTATCCTGGCATTACAGTTTACATTAAATACAAGCTTCAATGACAGACTCACTTCACGCATGCGCATTAAAATCTAATACTATGCATGCACATTAAACATCCACTACGTAGTGGATCTAATCCAGTACACCATCACGCTACAGGCTGCAATGAAGACCTCGTGGCTAGTATCAGCTGCAGTGATGCAATGACTTTACCAATTGGCAATTGCGGCTGTGTTCCACTTCACTTTTAGACACGTACTCACGAACTACCCTAAGCACTTCTCCTTGGGGAAATTCACACTGCCATTTGAAGCGCGTTCCACATTGTGGACGAGGGAAGTTTATATGGACAGACCATTGACCTCTCGATTTTGACTGAGGGAGCGAGTTTATGTCATGTGGACACTTCAGCTCCATAGACCACAACGCAACCCGATTGTGATGTCACCGCAGATCATGTTTGATTTAACCCCGCCTCAAACAACTCCATTAAAAAAGTCCAGTCATACATATATAGATATACAGTACAATGCTGCATCAAACTAATTTGTAAGGGGAAAAAATGTAAATAAAAAATCTACTCCACAGCGGATTCCAAGTGATCAAAGGCTTAGGATGTTCCAATTCAGCCCATTGCAAGGATTCTGCCTTTAGTAGGCGAGTCAACAAGATGGAGGGAAGTTAGTGAGTATAGGGTTAGGGTAAGGGGATAGTAAATACAGTTTGTTCAATATAAAAACCATTATGTCTATAGAATGTCCCCATAAAACATGGAAAACTGTGTGTGTGTGTGTGTACGTACACTAATAGCTCACCTGGTGAGTAATATTCATATATTGTGACTGCAGCAGGTTGTAGCAGACCCACATTATACAGCTTTTGCATTCTGAAGGCAATTCTTTCTGGCTCTTTATGAGAAACCTATTGAGAAAGAAATCAAAGCAAATGTATATAATATTAAAACCGTCTACATCAACGTGTTCAAGAGACAAAGTGAAAATCAAATTTTAAAAAATCTCTAGACAAAAAAATATATTATAAATAAACGATGAAATGCGATAGGTGTTTCTTTCTTGTATTATAGCCATAGGTTAGAAATTAAATAGGCACTTTCTCTTGTGCTTAAAATATTATGTGAACTATGATTCTGATATGTAGGCCACAATGTACAGATGAAAACGCAATCACATAGAGCCTCATGGCTGTGCAGTTACTGCATATTAATGATCCATTTGGAACATCTGTCAGCATCAGAATCAAGAATTTAACAATATTTGAATGTAATATGCAAAACACATGGTTTCTAGGTCAAAAGGAAACAATACTTCACATAATTGGGATACATAGTTGCTGACATACCTTATCTAAGTAGAGGATGAGGGATCCTGGCTCTGAGAGCACTGTATTTTTTTCATATTTCTGAAGGTATCTGTCCTTTCCCGTGGACAACTGAGCATAAGAAAATAGGAAGTGTAGGTGTAAAATCAATACAATATGATCAAAATGTTTTATGTCCCATGTACAGATGTTTGTGAGATTATTTTTATATGCTTTCTTATATTTTATATTGTTTTATATATAATCTTGCAGAACTGAGATGCTCTGTATGCACAGGGCTTATGAGGTTTTGCTTCTAGAATGGAATCATTTACTCATTGCTAAACAGATATAAGACATCACTGCATCAGTTTATCACCACAATACCGCTTTAAGATCATTTTCGTCTGCAGTAAATCCGGTCGGTATGCCAATATCCAGAATAGTCATGGTGGCATCAGTTATGCTGCTATTGTACCTGTGAAGATGGAGATCAAGAACAAATTCTATTAACCAGTTTCGTTGGGTCTTCGGTTTTGCGCCATCTACTCAGGCTGTGTTCACTTTAGAGCTTTTGGTGCAAAACCAAGTCCATTTGACCTCAGAAGGGTCAGAAATTAGGTTTTCCATTAAGCTGATTAAGTCAAGTGTAGAATACATAGCCGCTCTCTATGTCTTTAAAAAACAAGTTGTTACAAATATGTGGCAGACAGTCCCTAGTGAGGTTCTGTCCAAATTCAGAGGCTGTTTCCTTCAAAGGCTGCAAAGACTGATTGCATCATAGCTGTGCGGAAAAGCCTATCCCATTCTGAAAGGCTCCTTCGAATGTGGCCTGCAAATGCCTACAAATGTATTTTCCTGAGCTGCAAAGGATAGAACGAGTGGATCCTTCGCAGCCTAACCTATCCCCAAATTCATTTTATCTGCAATGATTGGTTTAACTTACATAGCTAGTGATACAAATGTTAAAAAAATCAACTGTCTTTCTTAAAAATTAAAAATATTATTAAAATAATCATCTCAGTTATGTGATATAACAGAGCTGAGCCACTGGTGACGCAACCTCTGTAGGCTAGACGGTCTCATTTAACAACACTGAGTTTGACCTTTGTGGACTTGAAAGGCCAAGCCTTCGCAGCCTCTGAGTTGAGACACCTGTGGTAACCTGTCACTAGTACACACGTCACTACTTATGTTGATAAATGCCAACTTTTCCTGTGGTTGGGATCGAACTCTGGTTCCGACCAAGTGTGAAAACAGCCTAAATGAAATAAAATGTTTTCTTAACATAAAACAACCTTATTAGGATATTTTTCCACATACATGAAATCCATAGTTAGCTTGTAAGTTTCAATGGCTCCTTGTTTTGCTAAAGAAAAAAAAAAACATGCTAATAATTAAAACCAACAACCAACACATAATGAAGTATATTTGAGGTTTTCTTTTTTAGCTCTGAATGTATGGAAAGTGCCACAGAAAGAGCATTAACTTAGTCTTACTTTCATTGTCTTTCTCCATTTTAACAGTCAGATCAAAGAAAGTACAGTCAGATTTCTTCTCAACAGGTCTGGCGTAGTACAGCGTCAGAACCTGAAAACAGCAGCACGTCTCAGATTAGATGTTCAAACACTTTAATCTTGCTGTTGACTGTATAAACGCTCATGAACACTCACTGAGAGAGTGGCTGTTCCAGTTCCTTTAGCAGTTACATTGAACTCCTGGTTTATGTCCACCTGTTGAGTGAATGCAGACGTACTCGAGTCATCAGAATCAAATCCATGATATAATAGAGATACCTGAAGATTTCACTGACCAAACACGAGACTATTGATGTAGGCAATTAAAAATGATGGATGACGAACAACAAAACTCCCATTATCCAACAAAAACTTTCAACTAACATGAGCTGCAAACAGTTTGAATCTAGAAGATGAGTTACTCCTCACCTTGTCTGACCAAGTAAGATGTGCATTCTCTCTTTTGATAGTATATCTGACAGGTTTGCTTCTTCCTGCCACGGACAGCTCCACGTTCAGATTGAAGTTTTGCCGGTCCTTCACCTGCGTGCGATACTCTGCCACGGCCTGGAACACCATGATGGTCGCCTAGAAAAGACAGAAAAGCATTCAAATCCTGTCCTGCAGTGTCAGTCCTGCACTTGTTCTGCTGTTCATCAGTCAAATGATGAGGTGTTAGTGTACCTGAGTGGTGCCAGATCCTCCATAGTGAGACTGCTGTCTGTTCAGCCAGTGCACTGCTTCTCCTGCTTTATCAAAGTCTTTGTCCTTCACAAGCGCCAGCACAGCATAAGCCGTCGCCTCTAGTGAGTGATGGTGCTGTCCAGGGACAGTCCAGGACCGATCGGCTGTTTCAAACACAACACAGGATTATTAAGGGGCAGCTGTGGCCTAATGGTTAGAGAGTCGGACATGTAACCTGAAGGTTGCAGGTTTGAGTCTCAGTACCATCAGGAATTGTAGGTGAGGGGAGTTAATGAACAGCACTCTTCCACCTTCAATACCCACGTGTGAGTTGCACTTGAGCACCGAACCGAATGGGCGCTTTGGCAAAAAGGGCTACCCACTGCTCTGTGTGTGTGTGTGTGTGTGAACTTGGATGGGATAAATGCAGAGCACAAAGTCTGAATATGGCTCACCATAAGAACTATTTGTGCTTATGTTCCCTCTCTATTCATTCGATTACTGTTATTGATACCAACAAACAACATTACACAACAAAATGTTGCTTTCATTCCTCTTGGACTTGTTTTATGTTGCATGTTGTACAAAACACAACTGTTTTAATGACTTGACTGACCTTCATGTTGGGTGGAGTGTTTCATCAAGATGTCTTTATTGAGTTTGTTGGCATTGGCCATGGCGTAGGACGTTAATGCAACAGCGTAAGGATTGGTCAGTTGTGGAAGTCGACCTTCCAAGAAGACAACAGCTTTCCTGATACTTTCATTCAGACTCTATAAAAGTGTGTATGATATTAAAACCAATTAGAAAAGAAAAAAAATCAACTGTTAATTTATAAATTAATGTTTTTGGTAAATACAATGGTGAATGAGGTGTACTCACACCTACTGCTTTAGCATAGATCTCTCTGGCCTCTTGCTCTTGCATGGCAATCACGACAAAGGCCGTCAGCGAGGCATCAGCATCTTTGCCCTGTACGTCACCCTGGAATAAAGCACAAATAAACAAAATATCACTAAAATGTGTTTTCCTATTGAATTAACAAATGTAACCTGCTACACACAAATACATAGTGCAATTAAAAATATATAATAATAAAAAAACAAAACAAAAAAAAAAACCCCTGCTGGATATTCTGCTTCTATCATTGGCTGCACGATGTCGAGTTTCGTGTCTGGCTGTAATACCTGCAGGTTGCAGACAGAGGACATCAGTGTTGCCAGACAGTGCTGTCTTTAATCTTTTAAACAGTCCAGATCGGTATATCCTTGAAAGCTACTGGACTTGTTAGTTTTGACTGTGCAAAGTTATGTAATGTTCTACAATATGAACTTCATGAAGACTTCCTCTAGTTCTATGTGAAATTATAGAGCGACTCGAAGCACATTATTGTTGTTATTTTTTTTTGTTGAGATAGTGAATTGGTGGGTTTTTGTTAAATGTGAGCCAAAATCATCACAATTAAAAGAACCAAAGACTTAAACTACTTCAGTCTGTGTGCATTGAATTTATTTAATACACGAGTTTCACAATTTGAGTTGAATTACTGAAATAAATGAACTTTTCCACGACATTCTAATTTATTGAGATGCACCTGTATGCATCAATGAATGACAGTTTTGACTGTCATGTGTGTGCATAAACGAGTGGGAAATACCTAATTACCTCGCTTTTTCCGATCACTTATATTGGGCACTTTTTTTGCATTTAAATTTTGACTGTTGACTTTGAAAATGATGCATGTGTTTTTTCGAGGGTATCGGTTAATTTCTTGATTGCTGTTTTGACAGTGTCTGCTTGCATATTTTAATCATATTTGGTAATTCTCTTTAATGTATTTGCCCCAATTTGATCAATGGGAAATTTATCTAAGGTTATATTTATATTATTTTCTCGTCATTATTTTGTTTTAAGGAGTTAAAATGTTAAAACTTATCAACCTTGACTGACATATTCTATCACATTATTTTGACAGTTAAAGTTTTGGGCGGTTTTTTGTTGGAGTGGGCGGGTTTTTGTGAGCTTTTGGGCTGGAAATCGTCCATCCAATCTGGCAACACTATGACATACTTCTCTATCTTCTCTGAGCATCCTATCGATCAACAGAGCAGTATGCTTCTGCTAAATTTACTGAGATTTTGGCAGAAAATAATAGATGTGATAACAGAATGGATAAAGCTATGTTTACATGTCTGAAATGATCCAGGTTTAATTTATTACTGTAAACTCTGTTTGATAATGATGTCTAGCCTAAAAAAAGCTAGCGTTTTCATTAATGAGACATATTGAGTGAGTATCATAACCTTGTTTGATGAAGCAGGTTGTGAGAAAGAGGGGGAGATCAACATTTAATTTTCTTTGAAGTAGACTGTGTGGTCTAAGTTTTTTTTAATAAATAATAAAAATTATAATGTAGATTTTTTTTTTCTAAATAATGAAAATGCATGACGATCACAGGATGTTCAAATTTACTTGATTTACTATCATCGTGTGAACATCTGTCCTGTGAAATGGCTGATTCAGTGCCATACAAAATAAAATAAAAAAAATTGAATGCAATTTGTATGACCCTCTTTAAAAAAAAAAGACAAACGTTGCAAATTCTGCAATGTTTTATAAACATTAATTTCATCTTACACATTATTTGTAGGTCACTGTAATTACTTAATGCAGTCTTACTGATAGCTGCCATTCCTGTTTTCCTCCACAGATGAGTTTAAATACAGTCTGTCATAGTGACATTTACCACCATCTCTCCATGTATTACAGCTGAATCCTCTTTAAAGGAGCCGTCTTGTACTTGTCTGTGCAGAACCAGCCACTCAAGGGCATTGCAGAGCACTTTATCCTCTATAGGAATTAAATCACTGGCCATGGCAAAGACTTTAGCCACATATGCTGTCAGCCTTGAACAGACAGAAACAAATGAAAATTAGTTACAAGTAATAATTTGCTACCAATAATATTCAAAGATAATAATGATAATAAATGATTACAGAAGAAACTGAGACTGAAAATAAATCAAAACAAATAAAACTGATTGAAATTAAAATACCATGTGCTGCTCGGTCTGTGTCTCCATGCAGCGTAGGATCCATCTGATTTACGGTAAACCAGCTGCCGCTGATAACCTTAATACAAAAAGGATAAAGAAAAAATATTAATTTGTTTATTATCTATATTTATTTTTATTATCTAGGTATTTTTTCATCTTTGAGAGTACTTTATGATATTATTCCAAATCATAGTCATATTCTGTATATCTGTTGTGTCTTGCTGACCTGTTCTGATATGGTTAACAGCTTCATTACGGCGATCCATGCCAACAGTGTCCCACTGATTGGTGCTGTCCAGATAATGAGTGGCAATGAGAGGTAGAGTCATATAGATCATGTTCTGCTCTCCACATCCAGTGGGCTGGACAATAAGACGACCCATGAAGTCTCCACTGATGGCCTGCTCGACTGTCTGAGCGATCTCTACACCTGGAGAGGTAAAAGACTTTCTTTATTACATTTCTTATGAGCTGTCATTTATGCAGAATGTGGTCAGAACAAAGACACATACCAAAAAGCTTTGTTTGGACTTATGCTTATGCAGGTTGAGAGACATAAACGTGTTATGACGCAGTGACGTAAACATGATGGTGCAACTGACCTTCATCAAAGTCCCTTTAATGTTCCTGTAAAATTTGCCTAAAACACCTAAAAAAGGCATACCCAAAGTAAACTGCATGCTGTTCTTGAACCATTTGGAGTACATACATGGATTTGGTATCTTTTGGCTCTTTTGAAAGGTGACACTCTGAGGTATGTTCCGAATCACTGTAAGTCTTATTGGTATTGAGCTATAGAACTTTGAACACACTGAAAAATAAAAAATAAAATCTGCCTACATTTTTTTTTGTAAACAGATGCCTGCAGATGACTGCAGCTGGGAGCTATTAGCTGGAAGATACATTTGAATCACAGAATAAAGTCTTACCACGCAAAATGTTTCAAATTTGATAATACCTTAGAAAATTAGTCTTTTACACATGTTTATCTAAATTTATGCATAGGCGCTTCCCAAAAAAAACCACTTGGAGACTCCAAATGCAATTCTTGAATGCTTTAATGTACAGTCATAATTTTGGGCTCTAATGAAAGCTTACACTTAAACCTATTCAATTTCTTATCCAGATTTTCTTGAACCATTTGGAGTCCATACATGGATTTGGTATCTTTTGGCTCTTTTGAAAGGTGACACTCTGAGGTATGTTCCGAATCACTGTAAGTCTTATTGGTATTGAGCTATAGAACTTTGAACACACTGAAAAATAAAAAATAAAATCTGCCTACATTTTTTTTTGTAAACAGATGCCTGCAGCTGGGAGCTATTAGCTGGAAGATACATTTGAATCACAGAATAAAGTCTTACCACGCAAAATGTTTCAAATTTGATAATACCTTAGAAAATTAGTCTTTTACACATGTTTATCTAAATTTATGCATAGGCGCTTCCCAAAAAAAACCACTTGGAGACTCCAAATGCAATTCTTGAATGCTTTAATGTACAGTCATAATTTTGGGCTCTAATGAAAGCTTACACTTAAACCTATTCAATTTCTTATCCAGATTCACTGTCAATAATTGCTGACACATAGTAACTGAAGCATAAACACATTATGTTGTGTTTTTTACGATTTGCTGTCATGTCCCTCAACGGAAAGAAAGTAGGGGAGCGCAGGGCACAAAGTAACGCGGGGTAAGTTGTAACACATGTTGTTTAAATATTTCCTCACATGCTAGCATAACCACATTTACAGCATTTACTAGTTACTATATCAACATTATATAGAGAAAAAAAAGTGCACCAAAATTCAAAAGTATTTTAAAGATATCGCTGAATATTTATTTTACCATAGTAAAATTATATTTCTGGCTTAAGTAAATTTTTCATCTCAGTTTTTATTACTCATTTGAAATTAGACAAATCTGCTATTATTTTAATCTCCAGTCTGATATTTATCAGTTTAAATAATTTTTTAATGCTTCACTAACTATCTGAAGACAGTAGCCTACCAGTTTTAAATTCCAGTTGCACAGATGGGGCCCCGTTGTAACACTGCGTTACAATGTGCCCTGCCGTGCTATTTGCTACAGAAGACTGATTAATCATCCACACTGCCAGATGCAAGGGCTTCCTACTCCAGTGCTCGCTATTTGTTAGCCAACAACCCTCGCTCTACCTCACAGACTCTAGCCACATTGCATTTGTTTGCTCATTACTCACTGGGAAGGCACTGGAGTGGGTCACCGCTGTCTGGAGGATGGATGGTTCGTCATTTCCCACCTTCAATGCATTTCTGCAACATTTCCGTGATGTGTTCGAACATCCGGCCGAGGGGATGAGTGCGGGTGATCAACTGTTAACTCTCTCGCAGGGGAGAAAGACCGGTGCCGAGTACGCCCTGTCCTTTCGAACCCTCGCGGCTCAGACTACATGGGTCGAGGACACGCTAAAGCTCTTGTTTCGGAGGGGATTGAATTTAGAGCTTCAATCAGAGCTGGCCTGCCGGGATGAGGGAAAGAGTTTGAGTGAGTTCATTGAACTCGCTATCCAGATAGACAATATGATCCGCTCTCGACGCTCCACTCGAGTCATGTCCCGTTACATGCCTGAAACCACGACCGCAGTCGATCCCATGCAGTTAGGATTCACTCACCTCACTTTCGCGGAACGTGAACGCCGCATGCAGAACCAACTTTGCCTCTATTGCGGTCAGGCTGGACACATGAAGATCTCCTGCCCAGTCCGTCCGTCTTCCAGTTCTCGATCGGTGAGTGTCAATACCCATAGTGCAACTCTTGCATCAAGCATTAAATTACCGGCCAAAATATTTAGTCAAGACAAGATAATTACCACTACTGCTCTGTTGGATTCCGGAGCAGCCGGGAACTTTGTGTCATATGAATTTGCTGCACAACATAAACTGAAACTAACCCCCTGTAACTCTCCCTTGGCAGTAAAGGCGCTAGATGGCCACCCTCTCGGAGAGGGAAAGGTTCTCCGCATCACTGAAGAAGTCAGATTGCAAATAGGAACCCTGCACTCGGAATGCATCCGATTCTATGTCATTCACTCGCCCAATCACTCTATTATTCTCGGATTACCCTGGCTGCGCACACATAATCCACGCGTCTCTTGGAGAGAGGGAGAGATTCTTCAGTGGGACGTTACTTGCCATGATCATTGTCTCTCAAAGATTCCCCGAGCTTCCAGTTATGCACCTTCCCCGCCTGGCCAGAGCACAGACGATCTGAACCTGCCCCCAGAATACTCTGATCTCACCGAGGCATTCAGTAAAAAGAAGGCATCTCAGCTCCCCACTCACTGATCTGTCGACTGTGCCATAGACTTAACGCCTGGTGCCAGTCCTCCTAAAGGTAGAATTTTCCCGTTGTCACAACCAGAGTCCGAGGCCATGAAACGCTACATCGAGGAGGAATTAGCTAAAGGATTCATCCGCCCCTCAACCTCTCCCGCGACAGTGAATTACAACGCTTCCTAGGTTTTGCAAATTTCTACAGGTGATTTATCAGAGACTTCAGCGCAGTCGCCGCCCCCCTGACAACCATGACAAAACGTCACGCTGCCAGATTGAGTTGGTCACCAGAGTCACGGCAAGCATTCAACGGACTAAAGACTCGGTTCACTTCTGCACCCATCCTTCGACACCCCGACCCAGAGAGCGAGTTCATAGTGGAGGTCGACGCCTCTAACACAGGGGTAGGGGCTATACTGTCTCAACGTCATGGCACACCCGCAAAGATGTATCCGTGTGCCTTTTTCTCCCACAAACTCACAGCCGCAGAACGGAATTACGATGTGGGCAACTGCGAACTTCTCGCTATTAAGTTAGCGCTTGAGGAATGGCATCATTGGCTGGAGGGAGCTGCTCTTCCATTCATCGTTCTCACGGATCATAAGAATCTTGAGTATCTGCGCTCAGCTAAGCGGCTAAACCCCCGACAGGCCAGGTGGGCACTATTCTTCACGAGGTTTCGGTTCACGGTGACATACCGGCCAGGCACCAAGAATACCAAGGCTGACGCTCTCTCTCGCCAAACTGAAGAAACGAGCCATCCCATCTCCCACGAAAATATAATTCCCGACAAATTACTCTTGGCACCAGTATAATGGGATATCATGACGGAAATTGAACATCTTAATCTTCAAAATCCGCCACCTCCTGAATGCCCGGCAAACCTCACCTATGTCCCTGAAGCCCTTCGACCACGACTGCTTACCCAAGTACACGTAACGCTCAGTTCAGGTCATCCTGGAATCACTGCCACAGAGAATTTACTCAGGAACCGATTCTGGTGGTCCACATTGCTGACTGACACAACCAAATTTATCCAGAACTGCATCACATGCAACACATCCAAATCCCCTAGACAGCTTCCAGCTGGTTTGCTAAATCCACTACCTACCCCACACCGACCTTGGTCTCACATTGCCATCGATTTCATCACCGACCTACCCAATTCTCAAGGTAACACCACTATACTCACCATTGTCGACCGATTCTCCAAAGCCTGCTGTCTGATTCCGCTGCCTAAATGCCTAAACTCCTTCGAAACAGCTGAGCTACTTTGTAATCATGTATTCCGTTTCTATGGATTACCCGATGACATAGTCTCATAGTCTCCACCCCAGTTCACCTCTAGGGTATGGTCCGCATTCTTCAGGCATCTCAATGTGAACATCAGCCTCACGTCCGGCTATCACCCCCAATCCAACGGGCAAACCGAGCGCCTGAATCAGGAGGTGATACGATTCCTCAGATCCTACTGCCAAC